TCCCATCTTGTTAGTAAAAAAGAAAAAAAAAGGTGGATCTTTTGAGGCTGTGCATGGCATACAATCATCATGTGAAATTGATATCCACTACCTGTGATTCCAGAGCTCCTAGACTGGGTAAGAATTGCCCAAATATTAACCAAGCAGGATCTCAGGGGCCTATAATCTAGTTAGGATCTGGTTAGGGAACAAATGGAAGACAGTGTTTTGAACACAATATGGCCACTTTTAATACCAGGTTATGCCTTTTGGCCTTACCAAAGCAACTGCCACTTTACAGCACCTCATCAGTGATGTCTAGTGGGACATTTTGGACCACCATGTGATTGCCTATCTAGAGAACATTTTAATTGATTCCAAGTATAAACCCATGCAAGACCAGCATGTGTGCAATGTATTGGGAAGGCTCCACCACATCTATGCAAACTTGGAAAAATATATCTTCAGACAACCTACCATAGAATTTTTTGGGTGCACACTGTCTCTCAAAGAGGTCCACATGCAGTCCCACAAGGTAGAAGCAATCCATGACTGGGTGATGCACTGAAACATTTGGGAAATCCAACTTTGTTGAACTGCCTAATTGATTTGCATCCCAATGCCAAGATACTATTTAAGCAAATATACTCCATGTCTGAGCCTGAAATGGTAGGTCTTAAGAACTATATCCATGAGAAACTGAAAAAGGATTTTATTCAACAGTCCGTTTCCCCAGCTGGGCGCCCATCCTCTGTGTGGACTACCATGCCTTAAATAAAATCACTGTGCAAAATCACTACCCATTACTCTGATTGCCTGGTGACCATATATAAACTTCCTGCTTCCTTTCTAGCCTTGTCTGAGCAACAAGTCATTGCCCTCCAGTTGCTGTTTGTCCTTGCTTGACCTTGCTGCCCACACGCATCCTGTTTTGCTGCCTTGCCCAACCCCACCAATTGCCTTGCTGTATCTTCCCCTTGGATTGGATCTCCTGGCTATTGAACCTCTTGCATGAACTCTGACCACTGATCTGGACTGCATTTCAACCTGCCTGACACCTGGGCATTACAGCAGGAGAGACAAGCATAGTGCTCCTGGCTAGGGTAGAATCCTGGACCAAATATTTCAAAAGTGACCCCCTAATTCTAGGTGCCCAGCTTGAGACCCCTACAGACCTGGTTTCAGAAGTGCTGAGCACCCATATATCCCACTGACTTAGGTTGGAGTTACAGATGACCAGCACCTCTGAAAATCAGACTCTGGTCTCAAAAAGTCAGAGAGTCAGTGGCCAGAATGCCAGAGGGTTTTAAGTACACCAAAAGCAGGAAGCCTGCCAAACAGTCAGTGGGGTCACTGAATGATCGAGGTGCTAAAGGAGCACTCAAGGAACAGAAGGTTGTTGCAGAGAAGCTAAATGAATTCTTTGCATCGGTCTTCACTGCAGAGGACATGGGGGAGATCCCCTGAGCCATTCTTTCTAGGTGACAAATCTGAGGAACTGTCGCAGACTGGGGTGTCTGTAGAGGAGCTTTTGGAACAAATGATCAATTAAAAATAAGAAGTTACCAGGACCCGCAGGAACAAACATATGAAATTGCAAAACTACTAACTGTGGTACGTAATCTATCGCTTAAATCAGCCTCTGTGCCAGATGACGGGAGGATGGCTAAAGTAATGCCATTAAAAAAAAGGCTCCAGAGACGATCCTGGCAATTCTAGCCCCACTAAACCTAACTTCACTACCAAGCAAATGTTTTTGAAACTATGGTAAAGAACAGAGTTAACAAACACCTAGATGAACACAATATGCTGGGGAGAGGTAACGTGGCTTTTGTAAAGGGAAATCCTGCCTCACCAACCTATTAGCATTCTTTGAGGGGGTCAACCAGGATGTGGACAAGGGTATTCCAGTCAATACAGTCTGCTTGGACTTTCAGAAAGCCTTTGACAAGATCCCTCACCAAAGGCTCTTAAGCAAAGTAAGCAGACATGGGATAAGAGGGAAGGTCCTCTCATGAATCAATAACAGGTTTAAAAGACAAGAAACAAAGGGTAGGAATAAATGGTCAGTTTTTACACTAGAGAGAGGCAAATAGCAGCAGGGTTCCACAAAGATCTGTAGTGAGATCTATGATTCTCAAGGTATTCATAAACAATCTGGAAAAGCAGGTGAACAGTGAGGTGACAAAGTTTGCTGACGATACAAAATTGCTCAAGGTAGTTAAGTCCAAAGCAGACTGCAAAGAGATCTCACAAAACTGGGTAACTGGGCAACAAAATGGCAGATGAAATTCAAGGTTGATAAATGCAAAGTAATTCACGTTGCAAAACATAATCCCAATTATACATACAAAATGATGGGGTCTAAATTAGATGTTACCACTCAAGAAAGAGATCTTGGAGTCATTGTAGATAGTTCTCTGAAAACGTCTGTGCAGCAGCAGTAAAAAAAGCTAACAATGTTAGGCACCATTAGGAAAGGGATAGATAATAAGACAGAAAATATCATAATGCCAATATAGACATCCCTGGTACACCCACACTTTATGTACTGCATGCTGTTCTATTCGCTCTATCTTTGAAAAGGTTCAGAAAAGGGCAACAAAAATTATAGGGATCTGGAACAGCTTCCATATGAGGAGAGATTAAAAAGATGGGGACTGTTTAACTTAGGAAGCAGATGACTACAGCAGGATATGGTAGAAATCTATAAGATCATGAAGAAAGTGAATCTGGAAGTGTTATTTACCTCTTGACATAACACAAGAACTAGGGGTCACCAAATGAAATGAATAGGCAGCAGGTTTAAAACAAACTAAAGGAAGTACTTCTTCACACAAAGCACAGTTAAGCTGTGGGAACTCATTGAATGGGATGTTGTGAAGGCCAAATATATAACTGGGTTAAAAAAATAGGTAAGTTCATGGAGAATAGGTCCATCAATGGTCAGAGACACAATCCCATGCTCTGGGTATCACTAACCCTCCAACTGCCAGATGCTGGGACTGGATGACAGGGGATGGATCGCTCAGAATTGCCCTGTTCGGGGCATTCCCTCTGAAGCGTCTGGCACTGGCCATTGTCAGAGACAGGATACTGGGTGAGATGGACCATTGGTCTGACCCAGTCTGGCCGCTCTTCTGTTCTTAAGGGACCATTAGACCATCTCGTGTGACCTCCTGTACGTCACTCAGTTACCCCTGTACTGAGCCCAATAATTTTTGTTTGATTGTATTTGAGGCATTCAAAATCGACAGTTGTTTTCTATAGAAATAGGAGATGAAATATGGGGAAGAATGGATTTACTGGAGACCTGGAGTGGAACCAATTGGCTTTGAGAGGGTGTAAGTCTGAGAGGGGAAGCTCAAGGCTAGAGTTAAACCCTATTTCTTCTCCTTCTGAGGCATGATTACCGTAATATGCTGTGGAGACTATTCTCTTCTGATGTAACAATTCTATACTGCAACATGTAACAATTGCCCTGTTCAGGATGTTCCAGTATTTCCTTACAATAAAAATATTCAACCCTCACCCAATGAGATGTAAGCCGCAATCTGCACCATTCCAGTGAGTGCGGGAGGGAGGCAGTGTCTCAGTGAAGGGGTGGGAAGAGTGTGGGGTGATGCAGTGACTGAGCAATGGGGTGTGTAGGGGCAGCAGAGTTAGTGAGTGATTGGTGAACAGGAAGCAGGGTATGGAGATGTGGGAGAAGCAGGGAGGTTTATACACAGCATGTCTGTTCTCTCTTTATAAAGATAGTGATTTCCTTCATGAGAAGGACCTAAATAATTTCTGTTGAGCAGAGGAATCACAGGAGGTGGGCCCTGGAGCCCTCTGAGAGAAACCAAGCACCACTTCACATGGCAGAAAGGGGCTCCCATTTTCTGTCCAAGCCACTCCTAAAGGAAGACATGCTTGAGGGCAACATCCAGAGCTCAATAACAAGAATAATTCACACACACTCACACACACACACACACACACACACACGATGTAACAGACAGAATATGCGTCACCAAATCTTATCTCATCACCGAGGGCTACGAGAGAGAGAGAACTGTCTGCAGAGCACTGGTCTACATAGCAGCCAAAGAGATGGAGACAAGTGACAGCGGGGAGACAGAGCAGGTGGGAACATCCCTCTCAAGAAAGGTGAGGAGAAGTCTGAGAGGAGTGAGCAAGTGCCCAGCACAGCCAGACTGCTTCTCCGCCTCAGCACTGGAAACACTGAAATGCAGAGATGTCAGTGAGCAAGTAGCCCCTGCTCCATTACACAGATGTAGAAGCTGGTTGTGTAAGAGCCTTGTAGAGCTCAGTGATAACCTCTCTGCCCAGAGGTGAATTGTCCTAGCTTTCCTGCATGTATTCATTATTCCAAAAGGCTGAATCATTCAGTGACTGATTCTTGTACTGGAGCTTGTTCATGAGCACGTCATTGTGCATATTCAGAATTCAAACCATGTTGGTTAGTTTTACTGGCCTTGTAGATCAAATGGTTTGTTCTGTTCCCTGAGCCAATGGACATAGCTCTGAAAACTAGGTTTCCATGGTGATCACTCACATTTCTCAGTTTAAAATGGGGTTTCCACCAATATTTTCTATCTTTGCTTTAAATTTACTCTATGCACTGGCTATTCATGGGAAGTGAACACCCCAATGCTCAGAGGGGAAAGTCAATTCCGTTTTTATTTCAGACCAATATTGGCAATGTATTTCTCAGGACAGTTGGCCAGCTCTAGCTCTTGAAGGCAGAAATGGTTCCTGATGTATAGAGTTCTTGAATTTTCCCCTAAGTACCTGACCCACATTGTATCTGCCTGTGAGGAGAGCTCAGCTCTGGCAAGTCTCACACACTTCCCATGTGTTTGTCTGTTTGTGCTGAGAGCGCTGCTATGGTGGGATTCCTTACCCATTGTTCATTGTGAGACACTGTGTATCGTATCCCCAACCCAAGCATTTGCACAATTCCTGGCACAGCTGTGGATCAAGGCCTTTCTTGTTTCTTCTTTTCTTTTCTGCAGACATGACTGTGTTCTGCCAGATCTGATTGTGGGCAACGAGGCATGCAGCGATCCCAGGAAGGCTGAGGAGAGACCCATTTTCTGCAGCTCAGAGCAAACTTGGAACTTTTGAAAACATATTCCTAAACACTTGTAAAAATCTTGCTTTGAGTCGCTCCGCAAAACACCGCAACCATAACTACAGTTCAGTGGGCTGGTGCTGTCTGAGCAAAATACTCTCTCTTACTGGATATTAACTCTGGTTATTTATTCATTCAAAAAGGCAACATTAATAGTTTTCTTTCCCCCTTGGGATCAATGACCATTTCCAGCTTTTGTTCTTTAACAAACACAGCCCCTCAATTCTGAGTTCATGAAGTAAACAAACCCCTCTAACTGTGACTCAGGGTTATTGTCATGCTATCTATCCAGCTTCCCTTTTCGAGCTGCTTTGGTCAGAATTTGCACCCAGTTTTTTCAGTTTTTCTGCCTTTCTTCTAACTCTAGGATCGGGGTGCACTCACATTTAGCATTCACTGCTCCCGCCCGGCTTATGTGAGTGTGTCTACTTCAGAAGCAGATGCTATTATCATATATCTTGGTAAAATACATGTTTTATGCATATTCTGTTTGAATTGTCAGCTGTGTAGTGAGTGTGCTCTGTAAACTTTCATCTTGTTCTGCATAAAATGTAGTTGTATTCAAGGTGTAAGTATTGAATGTTTTATTTTACAGTTACATCAACAAATAATGGAAGAAACCAGATTCAGCATCTTACTCAGAGAACCCCTAAAATGTCTCCATGTCTCTCGCTCCAGCCTGCTTTCTGTTAAATACCTATAGAATCCACAAGAGGGCACTGTTCCACAACCTCTCTGATAATCGAGTCTGACTTCCACTGTAAACACACCAGCGAGCCTCGCACAGGGATTTCTGCAGCATAGGGCATTATTCTTCCCCACTAGGTAAGTGACACTACAAAGCCCAATAACTGGTGTTTGAACTAGAGCATCTTTTCGAAAGAGATGCATCATCTCAGTGTAAAGACTCCGTTGTGCTCATGAATTTGCTGTGTCTCTCGGACAGCTGTTCCATTGGTTAATTACCCTCACTATTAAAAATGTCCAATCTAAAGTGATCATCAGGTGGGCCATTTCCAGCACAAATCCAGGTTTTCTCACCCTCCACCCCCCCACACAAATTCACTCTCCTGCTGGTGCTAGCCCATCCAAAGTGACAACTCTTTACATAATCAAGTCGGGCTATTTCCTGCACAAATCCAGGTTTTCTCACATCCCCCCCACCCCCATACACACACAAACTCACTCTCCTGCTGGTAATAGCTCATCTAAACTGACCACTCTCCAAGTTTAAATCCAAGTTAACCAGAACATCTGGGGGGGGGGGGGGGTTAGGAAAAAACAAGAGGAAACAGGCTACCTTGCATAATGACTTAGCCACTCCCAGTCTCTATTTAAGCCTAAATTAATAGTATCCAATTTGCAAATGAATTCCAATTCAGCAGTTTCTCGCTGGAGTCTGGATTTGAAGTTTTTTTGTTTTAAGATAGCGACCTCCATGTCTGTGATTGCATGACCAGAGAGATTGAAGTGTTCTCCGACTGGTTTATGAATGTTATAATTCTTGACATCTGATTTGTGTCCATTTATTCTTTTACGTAGAGACTGTCCAGTTTGACCAATGTACATGGCAGAGGGGCATTGCTGGCACATGATGGCATATATCACATTGGTGGATGTGCAGGTGAACGAGCCTCTGATAGTGTGGCTGATGTTATTAGGCCCTGTGATGGTGTCCCCTGAATAGATATGTGGGCACAATTGGCAACGGGCTTTGTTGCAAGGATAAGTCCCTGGGTTAGTGGTTCTGTTGTGTGGTATGTGGTTGTTGGTGAGTATTTGCTTCAGGTTGCGGGGCTGTCTGTAGGCAAGGACTGGCCTGTCTCCCAAGACTTGTGAGAGTGTTGGGTCATCCTTTAGGATAGGTTGTAGATCCTTAATAATGCGTTCGAGGGGTTTTAGTTGGGGGCTGAAGGTGACGGCTAGTGGCGTTCTGTTATTTTCTTTGTTAGGCCTGTCCTGTAGTAGGTAACTTCTGGGAACTCTTCTGGCTCTATCAATCTGTTTCTTTACTTCTGCAGGTGGGTATTGTAGTTGTAAGAAAGCTTGACAGAGATCTTGTAGGTGTTTGTCTCTGTCTGAGGGGTTGGCGCAAATGCGGTTGTATCGCAGAGCTTGGCTGTAGACGATGGATCGTGTGGTGTGGTCAGTGGATCTCGTCCCCTAAAGCCCCTACTCTACTTGCGCTATATTGATGACATCTTCATCATCTGGACCCATGGAAAAGAAGCCCTTGAGGAATTCCACCATGATTTCAACAATTTCCATCCCACCACCAACCTCAGCCTGGTCCAGTCCACACAAGAGATCCACTTCCTGGACACTACAGTGCTAATAAACAATGGCCACATAAACACCACCCTATACCGGAAACCTACTGACCGCTATTCCTACCTGCATGCCTCCAGCTTTCACCCTGACCACACCACACGATCCATCGTCTACAGCCAAGCTCTGCGATACAACCGCATTTGCTCCGCAACCTGAAGCAAATACTCACCAACAACCACATACCACACAACAGAACCACTAACCCAGGAACTTATCCTTGCAACAAAGCCCTTTGCCAATTGTGCCCACATATCTATTCAGGGGACACCATCACAGGGCCTAATAACATCAGCCACACTATCAGAGGCTCGTTCACCTGCACATCCACCAATGTGATATATGCCATCATGTGCCAGCAATGCCCCTCTGCCATGTACATTGGTCAAACTGGACAGTCTCTACATAAAAGAATAAATGGACACAAATCAGATGTCAAGAATTATAACATTCATAAACCAGTCAGAGAACACTTCAATCTGTCTGGTCACGCAATCACAGACATGAAGGTCGCTATCTTAAAACAAAAAAACTTCAAATCCAGACTCCAGCGAGAAACTGCTGAATTGGAATTCATTTGCAAATTGGATACTATTAATTTAGGCTTAAATAGAGACTGGGAGTGGCTAAGTTGGAGGCTTTGACAAAGCCCTGGCTGGGATGATTTAACTGGGAATTGGTCCTGCTTTGAGCAGGGGGTTGGACTAGATGACCTTCTGGGGTCCCTTCCAACCCTGATATTCTATGATTCTATGATTCTATGATTCTAAGTCATTATGCAAGGTAGCCTGTTTCCTCTTGTTTTTTCCTAACCCCTCCCCCCCACCCAGATGTTCTGGTTTAACTTGGATTTAAACTTGGAGAGTGGTCAGTTTAGATGAGCTATTACCAGCAGGAGAGTGAGTTTTTGTGTGTATGGGGGTGGGGGGGAGGTGAGAAAACCTGGATTTGTGCAGGAAATAGCCCGACTTGATTATGTAAAGAGTTGTCACTTTGGATGGGCTATCACCAGCAGGAGAGTGAATTTGTGGGGGGGGGGTGGAGGGTGAGAAAACCTGGATTTGTGCTGGAAATGGCCCACCTGATGATCACTTTAGATAAGCTATTACCAGCAGGACAGTGGGGTGGGAGGAGGTATTGTTTCATATTCTCTGTGTATATATAAAGTCTGCTGCACTTTCCACGGTATGCATCCGATGAAGTGAGCTGTAGCTCACGAAAGCTCATGCTCAAATAAATTGGTTAGTCTCTAAGGTGCCACAAGTACTCCTTTTCTTTTTGCGAATACAGACTAACATGGCTGTTACTCTGAAACCCATTAAAAATGTGTCTCTTGTTTCCAGTTTTGATTTGTCTAACTTCATCTTCCAGCCATTGCATCGTGTTCTACCTTAGTCTGCTAAATGAAGGATCCTCTACCGTCCTATTAGAAACCTCCCCATCAAGTCTTCTCCTTTTAATAAGCTAACAAGATTGATCTCCTTAAGAATCCCCCTGAAAAGCAGGTTTTCACGCTCTTGGATCATTGTTGCAACTCCTCTCAGCCTTCTCCAATGTTTCAACATCCTTTACAAGCGTGGACACAAGAGCGGGACACAGTACTCAAATAATGCTCACACACACTTCCTTACTCTGATTCAACATCCACCTATTTATATTCCCAAAGATCTCATTAGCCCTTTAGCTACACCATTGCATTGGGAGCTCATGTGCATTTGGTTATGTACAAAGACCCCTAAATCCTTTTCAGTTACTCCTTTCCAGGATACATCCCCCCATCCTGTAAATATGTCCTGCATTCTTTTTTCCTAGTATTGTATGCATGCATGTATGACCTTGTATTTGTTTTTTTTCAAACTGCATGTTTTATTTTCTTTGATAACTGTAGTTTAAGAAAACTGATTTTTTATTCCTCCCCCCCCCTCCCATATTGATTTGGCTTTGTCTAGGGTTTTTTCCTAACTGGGCTAAAAATATGGTAAAACTTGTTAGAGATGAAAAATTCACAGGAGAATATTGATTTTAACTACATGAATATTAAAGGCCCTTAGAACCTGATGTACCTATTTTAAAGTGGGATTCTGCTGGTTATTTTTCTGCAAAATATCCGTGGGAGTGACTACTGATTTGTATAGATTGAATGGCATGTCCTTTAAAATAGGGATGCTAGGGGAAAGGCTCCGCTAAACCATTAGCAAACAGTGAAATGTTTTTACAGATTCAAAGGCTGTAATACTACAGATCAATGGGATTATTCAAAATGCAGAACATTGAACACGTGCATAAATCTCTGCAGAACTGGGGCCATACATTTCAAGGCAGAAAGGGCTATGACCATCTAGTCTCCCAGCAACCTTCATAGAATCATAGAATATCAGGGTTGGAAGGGACCTCAGGAGGTCATCTAGTCCAACCCCCCTTCATCCAGTAATTCCTGCTTTGAGCCCAATACTTTGTGAAGGAGCTAGAGTGAATTTCAGTCTGGATTTTTGACACATATAGTTGTGAAAGAAGGGATACGGCCTCCTTTTTCAGCTTATAAAAAATGGGTTATCCATGCTTCATTGTTCCACTTCAATCAGCTGGAGTATTATAAACTGTTAGCGATCATTAAGCCCTGGATGGTGAGCAGCACAGGTTTATCCACACCGTCCAATGGTGGCTGGATGTGAAGTCTTCTGAAGTAGGGAATAAAAACAGATCGCCTGGGACTCGAGCCTAAGAATTAGGCGCCTCTGAGGTAATGAGTTACATAAACGTCCTTGCGTGACAACTGGCAGCTCCCTGGCAGACGCGGCTGGCAGGGGATGGGTTAGGGTTGCTAGCCTGTTTGCCTGGATCTTGGCTAAAACATTACGTACCCAGAAGGAGTCTGCCCACATTCCAAAGTGATGCCCATTAAGCAGCCCAGGGTTCCCAGCTTTATTTCCGTAGGGAAAATGTAGATAAAATTTGGGTAACACTTGGACGATGAGTAAAATTTTCAAAAATGCTTTAGTGAGTTAGGAGCCTAACTCCCTTTGAAAAACAATGGGATGCAGGCACATAGGGCCAGATTTGTAAAGGTATTTTGATACCTATAGAAGCAGATAGGTGCGTAGGGCTAGATTCACAAAGAAACAGAGGGTACATCTACACTGCAATTAAACACCCATGACTGGCCCATGCCAGCTGTCTCGGGTTCACGGGGCTTGGATTAAGGGGCTGTGTAGTGAGGCGGAGTGGCCTCTCACTGAGCCAGAGTGGGAGAGACCACTTTCTGAATCCAGGTGGGCAGAGCCAGGCTGTGCTTGCCCCTCCCACCGGAAGTCAGTGGCAGAACAGGAAGTATAAAGGGTGGGTCCTGGAGCTCAGTTGGCGGGCAGCAGCTGAAGGAGACAGATGCCTACTACCCACTCCTAAACTGGGAGACTGCAGCAGACCCCTGCAGAGCTGAGGACTGGCCAGAGCTACTGGAGCGGCCAGCTCACCAAGGCACTGAGGAGTTGCGGGGACTG